AAGACCCTTGTAAGTGTTTCCTTTGCTACATAGAAATTTCCCGCTGGTCTGAGAGACGACGCTGAGTAGAAATTAGGGTAGGATTTCGGCCGCATGTCAACACTAAAAAGCAAGACGCCAGGACTTGGGAAAAATTCGAACTCCTTGTGGTTTGAATCCTCATTTGAATCCTGCAACAGGACCACACGGTATCAGAAACCAGGCCCCCCAGTGGATCGCAAGAGTTCACGGGGTTCAACACCGGGAGGGAGTAGAACAGTATTTATCTTAGTCATTTGTTTAGCACGGACCATACACCAACCTGAGCAGGTTGTAAAAATCAATTCGCCTAATTAGCACAAAACCTAAGGAGGTTGGTGCTTGATGAAGGAGGTTCTGTGATCCAAATTTAAAAATTTTTTTTTTTTCCAACGTTTATTTATTTTTGGGACAGAGAGAGACAGAGCATGAACGGGGGAGGGGCAGAGAGAGAGGGAGACAGAATCGGAAACAGGCTCCAGGCTCTGAGCCATCAGGTCAGAGCCCGACGCGGGGCTCGAACTCGCGGACCGCGAGATCGTGACCTGGCTGAAGTCGGACGCTTAACCGACTGCGCCACCCAGGCGCCCCTGTGATCCAAATTTTATAGGCAGAGAAGCGGCAGGGAGAGGTTAGGTAACTTGCCCCAGGTCGCGGCGCTGGTCACAGGCAAAAGTGAGCACACAGCTCCGCTGTCCGAGGCTTGAACCCTCTCCCACACCGCATGGCCGGGGAGGTAGGCTCGTCAGAAGCTTGATCCCAGGAAACATGTATTTAAACATCTAGCAATGTTCCACTTGTCCAGACACTGGCCTGGTCTCTGACCTTCCAGACCATAGCTGCAGCTCTGGGGAGATTTCATCAAAATGGAAAACAACGAAGGAAAAGAGAAGGGAAAAGAGAAGTCAAAGGGCCATGCCATTACCACAGCTATCAGCAAGTCCATCCGTTTATTCCACAGGAGACACCCTCTCGGAGGGCCGGTCCCGTCCGTTGACAGGTAACGTGAACAAGTCTCGTTGCTTGTCTACTAGCCCAGGTGGTTCAGAAGCACAGCACATTAGAAGGTAAAGGCGGTGAAAAGCAACACGAAAGGGAAGAATTGTCAGTTGCCGCTAAAGCAAGAGACAGAAATTTATGACTCCACATAAATCCCAGAGTTAGTGTAGGCCTACTCAAAGCGGGAAGAAAGGCCTGACGTGCATCTCAAACGCCTCTGAGCGTCACCGAACAGAGCAGAGAACCACAACTCCTGGATTGCAGATGATGCGGCCTGTGTCTGATCGCCCGGAACAGCTACCCAGGGGCACGAGCAGGGCTGAGCTCAGCACCATGGAAAGTTACCCACAGCTCATCGGAAGGTGGCCTGTGAGAGGAGCAGCGTGAAGAAGGTTCAAGTTCAGTCTGGAGGAAGCCAGGCCGGCAGAGGGCCGGGGAACCCGTGCAAACTGCCCCCTCCCTGGCACGATCGTGTCGATCGAGTGTAATTACCGTCTGGTTTCAGCAGCCTACGAGGATGATTTTCTTTTAAAGTCCTAGGAAATTCTGTGCTGCATGGCTGTTTGCAAGGATGACGTTTATTGTGCCACATGCCCCCTCTGTGGGGTGCTCCTCAAGACAGCGCTGTCTGATCTTAATACCAAGAACAGTTGTGTTCCTCCTGAACAACCGATCCATCTGTACCTTCAGGCACAGCAGCCGTGTAACTGACACACTCAGGTTTCTCTTTCCGCTTTGGATGCTAGGAAACTGCGGTCTACCGGACCTCGTCCTACGAAGCACACTGGTCACCATGGCATGACATTTTTGGCTCATCCCACGCTCCGTTTTGTGCCTTCGCCCTCTCCTTCCCTCTTCTACGTTCCCTTTCTTCCCACTGATTCTATCTTGTATTTCAAACTTCCTTGAAGGCCACCTTATATCCTTTCTGGAATTAGGTCAAGAGTAAGACCGTGAACGAATGAATGAATGAATGAATGAATGAATGGAACTCAGGTGGGGACACTGAGGTTCAGAGATCGCCTAAGTAGCCATTTCATAACAAGCCAGGATCTATGTCTCCTGCTTTTCAATGTCACATCCTTTACATTAATTGTGTTAACAATGGTGATTCTCAATGATCAAGATGCTTTATATTTAAAAATACTATTTCTGGGGTGCCTGGGTGGCACAGTCGGTTAAGCGTCCGGCTTCAGCCAGGTCACGATCTCGCGGTCCGTGAGTTCGAGCCCCGTGTCGGGCTCTGGGCTGATGGCTCAGAGCCTGGAGCCTGTTTCCGATTCTGTGTCTCCCTCTCTCTCTGCCCCTCCCCCGTTCATGCTCTGTCTCTCTCTGTCCCAGAGGAAAGAAAAATCCAGATGTTAGCTAACTGAGACTTTTCTGGATGAAGAACATACCGAGAAAATAACAATTTTCTAGCAGCGGAACGGAAGGAAATCTCGCGCGCTCTGAAAGCCCTGGGAGCACGTCAATCGATTTGTTTTGATCCCTGATGTATTTTATGTAATACTAACACTATGTCAGATCTGCATGTTAGGGTACAGGGACTACCCGGGAGAAAACGTTTCAAACAGTGATTTCTGCAAAGTCAAAAAAATTCTCAACTCAACGTTGTCATCAAGGAGTTGATGCTTGAATTGTGTGTCACCTTTTACTAGAACAGTATCAGAGTCACGTATCAGAAGAGTATGTTTTCATCAGTCACTTGAGGTTATCACTTTGCTTTGAATGTTCTGAGGCAATTTAGAGAAAGAATAAAAAGAATGTCTAAGTATGACATTAAGTTCCAGAGGGGGAACACGAAATAGTAGACAGCTTAAAAGGTGAACAGGTAAACGCTGCCTCTTACAATCCAATCCATTCAGAAGCGAGTGCCTTAGTGTTTCCCCCCTCGCCTGTACTATGCTGGCATTTTAAAGCATCCTTCATATTAGGCAATAGCATAAATGCTCTAGAACAAATTTCAAAAGGAACAGATGTTATAAAAGATTTTTTAGATGGGAAATGAATTTACAGGCCGACTAATGTTTTTAGAAAACAAATCAGGCGCAGTCCCCCGTTTCCTGAAACAGAATATAGCTCAAAGATGTTGACAGATTTCACTGCGAGCAGAATGCAGTCGATCACATTTGCAAAGATGGGAGGAAACAGCAGCTGCGAAGAAATGATCCACGATGGTCAGCGTGACCATAAAGTAAGGAAGCTGACTTTTATTTCTTATTTATTTATGTATTTAAAAATTTTTTTAATATTTTTGAGAGAGCGAGCGAGTGAGCATGAGCGGGGGAGGGGCAGAGAGAGAGGGAGACAACGAATCTGAAGCAGGCTCCAGGCTCTGAGCTGTCAGCACAGGGCCGGACGCAGGGCTCGAACTCACGAACGACGAGATCATGACCTGAGCTGAAGTCGGGCGCTTCACCGACTGAGCCACCCAGGCGTCCCAGAAAATGACTTTTAAACAGACATCTCGGGAGCTCACAAGTCCAAAGGAGCACTGCCATCAACACAGTCACCTTAAGAGGCGGGTACATAATAATGATTCAGAATCCTTTGGTTAACACAGGCAGGGCCCTCAGCACTTTGTCTGACTACCTTCTGTGCAGCCAATCGTTACCTGGAGGTATTCAGGTAAAAAAACAAAGCAGGACTCTAAAAGCGTGTGTGTGTGTGTGTGTGTGTGTGTGTGTGTGTGTGCGCGCGCACGCGCATGTACGTGTTTTAGCGTGTGGTTCAAACACGAGTTCTGAGGAGGACCGCTATGATGTTGTAAACAACGGTTACATTCACGCCACCGTTGTGTGACTTAATGAGAATGGTTCCCACCACCATATACTGAGCTCCTAAGGTATGGCAGACGGGGTGCTAATGTACATTCTCCCGTTCAACCCTCAGGACTCCAGAGTTAGGTGCTGTTATTATCTCCACTGTATAAATAAAGGAAGAAAATGAGGCTCTGAAGTCCAGAAGTCACGTGCTTAGTAGGCGACAGGGCTGGGATTTGAACCCAGGATTGTCTGATCCTGGACTGCATGCTCTTATTCCACAGTAAGTGGAAAAGCCTTTTGTACCTCTGGCTGGGCCCTGAGAACAGTTGTTCTACCAGGCACGCTTACATTGGAATTTATTGAGATTGAGAGAGGGAGGGAGGGAGGGAGGGAGGGAGACAGACAGACAGACAGACAGAAGGACAGACTGCTGCTCCCAAGGGTACCTTCATTTTATCCCCAGGGGATTATAAAGGGATAACATGAGGGGTGAAAAAGAGGCAGGAAACACAAACACCCACTTTCTCAAACCAAACAATTTTCTCAGAGTGGGGTGGACCTTTCTGGGGCCAGGACAGGAAGAGACCGAGAAAATAGGAACAGGACAGGATTTGGACATGTAAGTGAATAAGTCCTTGAGAGATCAACACCTAACTTCTGGCATGGGTGAAACACTTCTGAAATGTTGCCAAATCTTTTTTTTTTTTTTTTTTTTCCAACGTTTATTTATTTTTGGGACAGAGAGAGACAGAGCATGAACGGGGGAGGGGCAGAGAGAGAGGGAGACGCAGAATCGGAAACAGGCTCCAGGCTCTGAGCCATCAGCCCAGAGCCCGACGCGGGGCTCAAACCCACGGACCGCGAGATCGTGACCTGGCTGAAGTCGGACGCTTAACCGACTGCGCCACCCAGGCGCCCCATGAAATGTTGCCAAATCTTAAACCGAGTGATTTTAAAATCAGAACGGTCATCATCAAAACTATTATGGAGAAGAGTTTCACATGAAGAATGTTTTATACATAACTAATGCTCTTCCTAGTATAAGAATTCCTAAATGTTATCAGTCATCTGGCCACAGTAGTGTTAAGAAACCCAGCTAGAGGAGACTTTTATGCCAAATGTGTTCTCATCATTTCCTACCTAGATCTTTGGTCTTGGTCCTAATTCATCGTGACTTTCAGTTCACTTTCTCAAGAGTTTCAAATAAAGAAAAATTACCTGGTGGTATTTCTTCAGGATGTTGTGCATTTCAGCCACATCTTCACTTGTGATGGTCTTGATGATGTATCTCTTGTCATAGGAAGTGTGGAATCGAGCCCCGCTGCGTGCCTGGGAGTCGTTGGGAAGGGGTGCGCTCCTCGTCAAGGAATTCTTCCCGTTGGGATAAGGTTGGAGGGAAGAGGAAAGAGACTGGTTAGAGGCATGGCTTTCTCATTTGCAGATCACGTGCTGTCATCACAAGTCTTCAAACACGGTTACGTTTGGAAGAAATCGGTGTAAGTAGGGTGACATTATATATTCATAGTAACTCAAGCGGGTAGTCTTTCAAATGTAATGCAGACAGCTTGGATCCGTACTATGCTTCCAATGTCCTTAAAGTAGGCAAATCCTAGAATTACAATCAAAGTTATTGTGTTCACCTTGTTCTTTTAAAAAAAAAACTTTTTAAAATGTTGATTTATGTTTGAGAAAGAGACAGAGAGAGTGTGAGCGGGGGAGGGGCAGAGAGAGAGGGAGACACAGAATCCGAAGCAGGATCCAAGCACAGAGGCCGACACGGAGCTTGAACCCACGAACCGCGAGATCGTGACCTGAGCCGAAGTCGGACGCTCAACCGACTGAGCCACCCAGGCGCCCCTCACCTTGTTCTTTTCTGAGTGGGACAGGGCTCAGATTTTCTTCTGAATAAAATTAGGTTCCAGTGGTGAAAACCTTTTTTTTTT